GGACCTCAACTTCCCACCAGAAGTTCTGGGTCTTGAAGTCCTCCAATGTATGGCCCCACGCTCACTTACTCAGAGCGGAGCCTACGCCGAGGCCGTACTACCAACACGGCCCATCGTTCAAGGACATGCGGTCGGGCACACGCTTCGCCAATATCATGACTTTCAAGGCGCTCCAGCGCATCGCCACCGTGCACCTTCATACCCACCACCGCACTTGGGTCGACGACCTGTCGCAGCGCATGCAGGCCAGCCGCCAAGCTCTCCGCGAGGGCATGGTCAACGTCCTCACCGACGCCTGCAATGCGCTCCAGGACCAAGGCCTCGCTATCGCCAAGAAGAGCGTCACCATGCGCACGCGCGCCCAGGACGCCAGGTACATATCCAGATGCATGAAGCACCGCGGCTTCAACATCCAGCCCAAACACCACGCCGCCTACCTGGGTGTGGACCTCAGCTGCGGATCGCGACATGCACGCCAGACCACCACACAACGGAGACGACGACACCAGAGCATGCACGGCAAGACCATGCGCCTCGCCAGGGTCACGAAGCGATACTACCTCACGGCACGGCTCGCCACACAAGGCGGCATCGCCGCCACATACGGACACCAACTACACGGAGCTTTCGGGACCACTATGACGATCTACCGACGACGACTTGGAGACGCCATCGCCCCACCATTACGCGGGCGTTGCTTCACTGCCCTACTCGGCCTGCGCGCCAGCACCAAGGACCCAGCACGGAAGCTACCACGTGAAGCATTCCAAGCCTGGCTCGCCACATGGGTCCCCCGCCCCCACCTGCATCAAGCCATCCAGACCACCTGGGCACAAACGGTCGAGCACTTCCAACAGTTACCACCGCAGCATAGGGTTCGGCATGCTCGAGGTCCGCAGCCAACCATCATCCTTTACCTCATGCAGATGGGCTGGGCACCGACAAGACCGAATCAGTGGCATATTCCCGACACCAACGACTCCTGGGAGTTCGACGCCCACCAGCTCTCAGGCTACCCCGACGCCGACATCCCACACCAACTCCCCGATGACATCGACAACACCATCCAACTCCAGCTCTGGCAGCAAGCCAGCAAGCACCACGCTGGCGAGGGACTCCAAGAGGGCGCAGACAACAGGTCTTACCGCAAGCTCCTCGCCCACCCCGAAAGAATGCCACAAGGCGTTCGGTTTGCCAACCTCATGCTCACCATCGCCACTGGGGCCATGTGGATACGCGGACGCATCGCAGCCGAGACGGCCTCACCTGACGTCACCGCTGAATGCCCACGATGTCACAAGAAAGCCGAAGATGACCTTCACCGAACCTGGGGGTGCGAGTGCAACAGCAGCGACGACCCAATCATTCAGGCCACCAACAACCTCATCGGTGAAGCCACCACGCAACGACATCTCCACGAATGTTTCTGGTTAAGAGGTATCATCCCACGGAGCTCTACCGCCATGCCACCACCAGCAGAACGATAACATTGGACATGCTACAACTTCGAGCAGTACGACATTGCCTGCCTAGCCGACCTCCCTGGAGATCCAGTGTATGCCTTCGGCGACGCAAGCGGCGGTCAGGATACCAGCAACAGTGTATTGCGACGCGCCGGCGTCGCCGTCAGTTTTTCCAAGGCCCTGAATAAAAAATGAGATGGACATCGATGCGGCCTACTGGGGAACTCCCTGGACGGCGACAGACCGTGGCACGCGGAGAATTGCTTGCCATGGCCACAGCAATCGAGTCCACAGAAAAGGACATTGTGTATTTTACGGACAACCAAGGCTGCTACCTCAATTTCTACAACGGACATTCCACTGAACCCCACGGGGATGACGGCGATCTATGGCTCCGACTTCAGCGCGCCCTGAAACGACGAGCAGGACATGTCACAGTGTTGTGGATACCGTCTCACATGGAAGCAGCCGACATTGTGCAGGGCCGACTATCTGCACCCCTCGCCTACGGCAATTTCACCGCCGACGTCCTCGCAGGCATCGCCGCCGACGGGGCACGGGTCAGCACCAGTGACCGCCAGCGGCTTGCGCTGGCAGAGCACAAAGCGTGTTTAGTCCGAATGCGATTGTTGAGGACTGCTCTAGAAGCCCTTGAAGCCGAGAAAGCTGAGTTTGAGTGTTCTGGGGTGCCGAGACCTAGACGGCAAAAGGGGATGGCTGCCTCCAAGCCCCCCGCCCCGAAGCTTTGTGCGTTTTTTGGGTCCCAACACAGCGTTGACCCCACAGGCTCCATGTGTTGTAGGTGTTTCAGCAGCTCCAGCAAGGCCATTCGGACCTCCTGGTTACAGACTAGCTGTTTCGAACTCACCAATGTCAATGGCACTTACAAGGAGGCCCCCATGGGTATGCAGGTTCATATCGCGGGGGGGTTCGTTCATTCGAGTCACACTCTGAGGTTCCACGCTGGGCAGCAACTTTGGTTCTGTTCCCACTGCGGAGCATACGCCCAGAAGCTCCTCGGGAAACTCGGGGACCTCTGCGAGCAACTCACTAGTACGGGGAAGGAATACCTCAAGCGGATTTCCGAAGGACTCTGGCCGAAGGTCCTCAGTCGAGCTGAGACGACCACCAGAGTCAACAATACCCTAAAGACGGTGGCGGGTATTTAAATTCACCACATCGCTACGCGAACAGGCAGAGACTCCAGAGACTCCTCCTCCTCCTCCCCCTCTTCCTCCTCCTCCTCCTCCTCCTCCTCCTCCTCCTCCTCCTCCTCCTCCTCCTCGTCATCCTCCTTCTCCTTTCATCTCCTCCTCTCTTCTCCTCCTGGGCAGAGTCGGGAGGCGTAGGACCAGCATCGGACAGCATCCAATCGGGAAATTTGATGGAATCGGAACGTGCGTTGGATTGGCCTGCCCTCGCCCGTTTCGGCACACCTCTCACGCGCTCCGTGGCATCATAGGGAGCGACACCTACGGCCCCAGTGAGGGTCGTTCACATGAGTCCCCCCGCCGCCCTTTCCGACACACCCCTCACGTGGATCCTGGCCCCAGAGGGTGGTCCACCTGCGGCCCCAGTGAGGGCGTTCGCATGCGCAGCTCCGTCCATGTCGGAAAGAACGTGTTCTGCCGCTGCTGTCAGAAAACCGGGAGTGGGCCGTTGGCGGTTTCCAACCCGTCCCGTCCCCCCCTCGAAAACCGAAGGGGGGATCCCTGTGGGTTCCAATCTCCTGGTCCATCATGAAAAGGGGGGGGGTAACTCCAGGTTCGAACCCCGCCCCCCCCCTCCTCGCCGCCGGCAAACGATCCCCCCACCTCCCCCACTCCAGATGGTAGACCCTGGTGGGGACAGTGGTTGGAACGGTGGTGGGAATGGCGGAGGAGAGTGGGGACAGTGGGGCAGTGGTGGGGACAATGGGGAGAGTGGGACCGTGGTGGGGACTGTGGTGGGGATAGTGGCGGGGACAGTGGAGACAGTGGGACTGGTGGGGACGGCGGTGGTGGGGACAGTGGTAAGGGCGGTGAGGACGGTGGTGGTGGTGGTGGGAAAATGGGACAGTGATACAGTGCGGAGAGTGAGTGGTGGGAACAGTGGACACAGTGGGACAGTGGTGGGGACAGTGGAGACAATGGAACAGCACAGTGGGACAGCGGCGGGGACAGTGGGGACAGTGGGACAGTGGTGGGGACAGTGGGGACAGTGGGACAGCGGTGGGGACAGTGGAAAGAGTGGGACCTCTGTGGGGAACGTGGTGGGGACAGTGGAGACAGTGCCCCAGTGGTGGGGGCACTGGTGGGGACAGCGGGGACACTGGTGGGAACAATGGGGACAGTGGGACAGTGGTGGGGACAGTGGGGACAGTGGGACAGTAGTGGGGACGGTGGGGGTGGGGACAGTGGTGAGGGCGGTGGTGAGGACGGTGGTGGGGACCCGGGAGTCGCTTGCCGGCGGCGAGTGGGGCGAGGGGTGTTCGAACCAATAGTGACCCCCCCCGTTTTCCGGGGGCGGGAGGGGTTCGAACCGGTAGTGAACCCCCCTCGGTTTTCCGGAGGGGGGGGGGGCGGTTGGGGGCGGGGGGTTTGCCAGCGGTTCCTGGCCCCGCAGGGAGTGGGCGAGCGCGCGGGCATGCCGCCCTACGCTTACTTCGCCACGCACGCACACACACACACACACACACACACACACACACAAACACACCTTACACGCTTCGCGCCCCCCTTTGGAGCTCCACCAACGGCCCTGACACGTTTCACGCTCCAGGGTCAACCCTTGTGTTGCACACAGCTCCGTAGGTTTAGGCCCCTAGCTCCTAGCTAGGCTAATTGTTTCACGACGTTCGCCTCGATGCTCTCGTCCCCAGGGTCGGTTCTTCGCCGCATGTTTTCGAAGGTTTGGGTTCCACTCCTTTCCCTCCTGCTCTCTCATCCCCTCACCCTCACCCCCTTTTCCCCCCCCCCTCTCCTCCCCTCCTACCTCGCTCCTCCCAGTCCTTCCCTCCTCCCTTCCTCCGATCTCCGAGCTAGGCGAGCACCCTCGCCGCACCCCAGAACTCCGACATCGCGATCCTTTGTTTGAGACGTGGCCCCTGGAGCTCTCGAACCCAACCCTGGAGCCAGTTGTTCGCCGCGGGTCATTTTCTGACGGCCCCGTGACCCGAAGGAGGCCCAGATTCCGAAAACATCGAAATAGCCGTGCGGCCAGTTATCATGTCTGTAGGGCCTCGGGAGCTCGGGAGACCGCACGCTCGTGAAATAAAATCGCAGTCCCACGCGCGTCGGCGCCCCAGCTCTCGCCCCCAGAGCTTGCCCTCCGCTCCGCCTCGAGATGCCGACGACGACCACGAGGACCGCGAACCTGACCACGACGGCGACGGCGACGGCGGTGGCGACGGCGGCGGCGGCGACCACCACCACCACCACGGCCACTACCACGACCGCGACGGCGGCCTCGACCACGACCACGACGGCGGCGCGTCGGCCATGGCGGCGGCGACGGGACGGCCCCAGCCTCGAGCTGCCGCCTCCCCCCCCCCGCGAGGTGCCGAGGTCGTCCTCCCCGAGCCGGGGTACGCGGACGCCGCCGTTCGGCGCGCAGGAGTGCGGCCCTCTCGCCGGCGAGACGCCGACGGCCCTTGGCGGCCTTCGGCGGTCCCTGGTAGCCGCCGGCGGCAATGGGCCGCCTTCGGCGGCCGTTGGCGGCCCTCGGCGGCCTTCGGCGGCCCACGGTGGCCCTCGGCGGCAATCGGCCAGCTGTTTCATGTTTTCGGCCGCGGGAGGCCCATGCCAGACCCCGGCACATCAGAAAAGGACGTGGGACGAAAAACCCGTCCTTGGGGATGGGGTCGAGCGCCCAGGACGGCGGCAGGGCGGCCTGCCGCTGGTGAGCCGGTGGCGCCAAAGCATCGGATCGCCCAAGATGGCGACGTGGCGGCCTGGCGCTGGTGATCCAAAATTGTTGCGCCGCGCCCCTGGGGGCACCTTGTTTTTGGGGGTTAGCGCCTTAGCCGATGGCGTTGCTGTGTGCGTTGAGTCACGCTCTGCAGGGCGATCTGCTGCCTCAAGCAGGGATTCGCAATCGCTGAGTCTCCATGTCGAGACCCCGTGGGGGTCATTGGGCGCGGGCCCTTCCCCTGCTCGTCTTGCCCGTTCGTCCTCCACTTGTTTTTGTTGCTATTTGAATCGAGGATCGAAACGAGAGGCGCATGCCCATCGCAGTGTCGCTGTCGTCGCCGCCTGCGCCGCCGTCGTCACCGTCGGCGTAGTCGTGGACGCCAATCCCCCTGCAGGCGTCGGCGCCGCCGAGCCTCCTCTCGGCCGCCCTGCTGGACCTCCGCGGCGGACTGGGCGCCCCGCCGCTGGGACACCGCCCGGGCGCCAGGACTCCGCCGCGCCGTCGGCGGCTGGCTGTCCGCCGCGCGTCGTCGTTTTCGTGGTCAGTCGATCGTTTCTCAACGTTTTCCGTTCCAACATTGATCCGATGTGTAAAGTTGCCCCCCCAGGGAAATGGATCCGAGGCTTCTGGGGTCGTCGTCGTCCTCCTCCTCCTCGTCGCCCTGGTCGTCATGGTCCATCGAAGACGCATACGATAAATCATCGTCGCCCCCTGCCCCGATGTGGCCAAACGTTGGGCGGACGCGCGGCCTTTTCAAAATGGTGTTGTCGGCGCCGCGCACACTCGTCTTAAGAATTTGCAAGAGCTTCGCGGATGGAGGGCGGGCCGTTTTCACAATGCGGTTCTCGCCTCAGCGCCGCGCACATTCGTGCCAAAAATGCGCAACAGTTTCACGGAAGGAGGGCAATTCTTTTTCAAAATGCGATTATGGTTTCACCGCCGTGCACATCAGTGTTAAAGAATTGTGAGAGGGTCACGGATGGAGGGCGGCTATTTTTCAAAGTGTGGTTCTCGCTTAAGCGCTGCGCACACCCGTGTCAAAATGCAAGGGCTTCACGGATGGAGGGCGGCTACTGTCCAAAATGTGGCTCTCGCGTTAGCGCCACGATATTCATTTAAAGAGTTTACAGCAGTTATAAGAATTCGCATGGTCAACGTCACAAAAATAGCGTTCTGGCACGGTGTCAGATTGTCAGAGCGCAGCAGTCACGTTGAATCGCGGTGTCGAAGTTCCAGGAATTGCGTTTTGGCACGATGCGGGATCGTCAAAACGCAACAGTAACTATGATTCGGGGCGTGTGTTGGTTTTCATTTACACCTAAGGAATTTCAAACGGTTGTCTTTCAACGGGGTACTTCCCTCAGTGAAAACGAACTTTTGGAGGGGCCTATGAAGAGAGCATTTTGAGGGAGACTTGATTGCAATGTCGTTGATGAGTCCTGGGTTTACACAGGTCCTCCTCCTCCTCCTCCTCCGCCTCCCCCACCTCCTCCTCCTCCGCCTCCCCCACCTCCTCCTCCTCCTCCTCCTCCTCCTCCTCCTCCTCCTCCTCCTCCTCCTCCTCCTCCTCCTCCTCCTCCTCCTCCCCCTCCTCCACCTCCTCCTCCTCCTCCGCCTCCGCCTCCTCCTCCTCCTCCTCCTCGTCCTCCTCCTCCTCCTCCCCCTCTCCCGTGAGAGGCCCAGGCAACGGCGGAATATCGGCCACGCTGCCGAGCACAGTTATTGTACGCGTGTGCGGAGCCAGGCGGTTCCTGGCACACGGCCAGGGCTCGGTGTGCCGTCTTTCGTTCAGCGAGTGGCATGCAGAGCGAGCTGGTCGGCCGCCGAGCGAAAAACAGGGTGGAGGACCAGGGCGAGGAGGACGAGGACGTGGACCTGCCGCAGGCGCCCCCGCGGGAGGAGGCGCGAGAAGGCCCGGCGGGCTCCGCCCCGGCGGCGCGAGCAGGACCGCCTGCTCCTTGGCAGCGCCGGCGCAGCGCGGGTCGCTGCCTTGGCACGCGCACGGGCAGGCGCCGGCCTTCGGGGAAGCTCGTCGACGTCGTCGTCGACGTCGTCGTCGTCGCCGTCGTCGTCGTCGTCGTCGTCGGGAGCTTGGCGGCGCATGCGATTTTCGGCGACTTGGCATTATGTGCCTTGTCCGGGGGTCTGGGGGAGGTGGCCCTCGTGGTCAGGGCTGCTGGCGGCTCGAGAGAGGCCAGCTGGTGTGGACCCCAAGGAGGGTCCTGAGGCACGCTCTGAGGGACCCTGAGATCTCGGCGTCGCACAGTTTTCACGCCGGACGTTTTCGCCCAGGCTCGGGCCCTGCAGACCCTTACGGATCGATCCAGCTTGCGACATGCTGCAGCAGGATAGAGTCGGGGGCTCCACTCACAGCTTGGGGCGATGTTTCGATTCCTTGGCAGCTTCGGATCTCAGGCGAAGATCGACGACGTCGTCGTCGTCGCCGTCGTTCGGGAGGGTTTTGGTCGTTCCTGGAGGCTCTCGTCGCCATAGCTGGACGCGGCTCGGAAAATGCCTTGAGGGACCCCAGGAGATCGGGTAGTGACGTGAGGGAGGCGGCTGTCCGAAAGGAGTAAGAGGTCTCCAGGAAGGCTTGTCAGAAGGCGGGAGGACTCGTAAGAACCCCCTGCCTTCTCAGAAGGCCCCCTCCTCGCTCCACCCCCTTCTGCATGCCGCCAGGGCAAGCAAGTGAAGCGCAGACAGGTGCGGCGCGATGTCTGCACAGCGGTGTCATCCATGTTGGCGTGGTCGATGCGGTTTGAATTCGATTCCGTCACGATGCAGCCCGATTCCATGCATGTGGGCGTCGCGATTTGAACCTGGTGCGTCCCCCGGTAGGACTACGTATTGGTTTTGTTGGAGGCGACTTAGGGACGAGCTGAAGGCAAATTACATGTGATACTGACGACATTCTGGAGCTCAGAACGAGCTCAAACCAAGCTACTGGAATAAATGAAGCACGCTGCCATGGGTTACTCGTACGGCGTTGCGTCGCATTTGCCACCCATTGAACAGCACGGCGCTGGCAGTGCATGTCATTGCATTTGTTTGCATAGGTTGTTCTGCTGAGTTGTGCTTTACTTTACTGTGATGTACTCTACTGTGCGTGGCGTTTCTCTGCTTCGACTTGCTTCGCATGTTAGTTTGGATGAAGTGCTGTGACCCTCTTCCCAGTGCATGGCAAAGCCTTGCATCGCAATTGTGCTTGAGCGCCTCGCATTGTATTGGATTGCACTCGAATGTTCAACGCCGGGCAGTGCCGGTGCACCGCAAAGCAAACCAGGGGCAATTCAATGTAAGGCCGTTCAATGCAAAGCACATGCAATGCCATACAATGCAAAGTAAAGCAAAGCCATGCAGGGCAACGCAATCAACCGCAATGCGAATGCGCAATGCGGTGGAACATAAAGATGTAGAAAAGCTATGAAAGGCACTAACGTGCCATGCGAAACAAGTGGATCCGGAGCAAGACAATGCAATACAAAGCCGTGCAATTCAAAGCAACACCCTGCAATTCAGAGCAATCACCATGCACTGTTGTGAAGACAAGGCGCAGCAATGCACAGCAAATGCATGCAAGACAATGCCAAGCGATCCAAATCAATGCAGATGGAAAGCGCTACAATGCGATTCAAAGTGCCAAGTGCAATGCAAGTCAATGCAACACAGTTCGAGGCAATGAACGGAGGGCACTGCTGCAAGCCAATACAATGCAACGCGGATCGATTCAGTCTCATGCGCAGCAGAGCAACGCAGAGCAACGCTATGGTCATACAACGCGCAGTAGAGCAACGCAAAGCGACGCAATGGGTATGCAGCGCAGTGCAGAGCAATGGCGTTCACTGCGGGACAGCGCGAAGCAGCGCAGTGCTGAGCAAAACAAGCAGTCGCTGAGCAAAGCAAGTACTCGCTGAGGGAGGGGGGGCAGTCCCCAGATGAGGCGCCGAGCGCCCACAGGGGCCCCTGAGGCCCCGAGGCGCCGGCTGCACAGTAGCCACCGGACCGTCTGGACGAAAACGTCGCTTGGAGCAGAAACGCCACGGGTGCGTTTCCGCCACTTGGGCCTCCAGAGGAGGGGGGGACGAAACGGGGAACACGAGAAGCAAAAAGCAGAGGACGATGAGGTGGGAGAGGAGGAGGAGGAAATCGAGAAGATGCATGAGGGGGATTCAACATGGAGGAAGGAGAAGCAAGCAGGGAGGAGGGATGACGAGGACGAGAAGGTGGACGAGCATGAAGAGGAGGGGAAGACCCAATACACCGCCACAGACCACTCGTGCCAACTTTGGGCTGCGATCCCACTGCCTCGGAGGGCCAATTTCGCCTGCTTCGCTTATGCGCATAAGGCGAATACAAACTCCAGGCGAGGTGCCCTTGTTCAATTCCTCCGCCTCCTCATCATCCCACCCCCAACTCTTTTTCCTTATAGAGAACTCTTCTCCGTCGCACCACCAGATGTGTCTTTAAGGCAGGCCTGCCGCTCCGATCGAAGTTGTGATCTTGGAGCATGGAGTGTCCAACAGCTGCACGCACGGAGTGCGGGACGTGTTCGAAATGTGTTTCAAAGCTACATGCGCAGATTGGGGCGATTGGATTTCACGTTGACGCCCCGTATATCCCACTAGAAACTGCCAACAATTCCAAAGCAGGTGGCTGTGAAAACGTGGTTGCCAGCGTCGCGCACATTCGTTGATTAAGTTCCCAAACAGCACGGATTGATGACGCACGGCTTTTTGCATATAGTCACCACAGCGCCGCGCATGTTTATTCCAACAGGTTGCATCAACTCGGCGAAGGGGGGCGGGATCTTTTCAACTTAGGGTTCTTGCCTTAGCACACAGGGCATTAGTCGTATAAGCTTGCAACACAAGCACGAAATGAGAGCGGATGTCTGTTTTCAAAAGTTGGTTTTCGTTACAGCCGAATGCAATGTTTGCAACCAGATGTTCATATCAGATGTGCAGCAGATGTTCGGATGGTTTGAGGCTCATGCTCAAAACGGGGTCATCGAAGATGCCTACGGCGAATCACCGCCGCCCCCTGCCTTTTTGGAATCGCCTATGTGGCCGACCGTTGAAGCCAGACCTGCCAAGCTATCGGACCATGTGTTCCCCGAATCGGTTTGGAAAGCCTTCGGGGAACACGTGGGCATCTTGAAGGTCATCTTGGCCGCCTGGAGGCCATGTTGACCCTTTCAGGCCTTCTTGGAGGACGTCTTGGAGGGCTCTTGGACGTCTTGGAGGCCATCTTGAGCGTCTTGGAGGCCTCTGCGGCCGTCTTGGGGACCTCTTGGAGCCGTCTTGGGCCTCTTGAGCGATCTTTGGGGGCACTTGAGCCGTCTCGGGCCCTCGGAAGGCCGAAAAAGAGCAAATGCCACAATCCTTCAAAAACTCATTGGAAATCAATGATGTTAGCCTTCTCTAGCCTTCCTGGAGGCCCCCTTGGAGACCTCTTGGGCCGTCTTGGGCCATCTTAGTGCCATCTTCGGCCGTCTTGGTGGGCCCCTGGCCCGTCCGACGCCGTCGGAAGCCGTTTTGGGGGCCTTTCTGAGCCGACTTGGGATTCTTTGGAATGCTCCAGGGCCGTCTAGGAGGCCATCTTGGGCGTCTTAAAAGCCTCCTGGGCCGTCTTGGGGGCCTCTTGGGGCCGTCTTGGGAGCCTTCTGGGCCGTTCAGGGGCCATCTTGGAGGCCTCTTGGGCGATCTTTGGGCGATCTTTTGGGGCTCTTGGCCCGTATCGGGCCGTCGGAAGGCCGAAACGAAGCACGTGTCAAAATCCTATGTTCTTTTTACCGTTTCTGGCCTTCCTGGAGGCCCTGTTGGAGGCCCCTTGGGCCCTCTTGGGCCAGCTTCGAGCCAACTTCGGCCGTCTTGGTGGGCTCCTGGCCCATCTGACGCCGTCGGAAGCCGTTTGGGGGGCCTTTCTGGGCCGACTTGGGGCCCTCTTGGGGTGCTCCAGGGCCGTCTTAGAGGCCATCTTGGGCGTCTTGGAGGCCTCTGGGGTCGTCTTTGTGGCCGTCGGAAAGCCGAGAATAAGCGAATGCGAAAATCCTTCAAAAACCTACTGCGAATCAATGGTTTTGGCCTCTTCGGGCCGTCCTGGAGGACCTCTTGTAGGCCTCTTGGGTCGTCTTGGAGGCCTCTGGGGGGGCTCTTGGGCCGTCTTAGGCCGTCTTGGACTCTCTTGGGCAGTCTGGGAGGCCGTCTTGGACTATCTTGGGCGGACTTGGAGGCCATATTGGACCATCTTGGAGGCCATCTTGGGCCAACGTGGCCATCTTGGAGGCCATCTTGGGCCATCTTGAGCGAAACATTGGGGAATTGTGCGGCCTTTTCGGGTGGCCGGCGGGACGGGCCGAAGCCCCAGGGGGAGTTCTTTGGAAAAAAAAGGCTAAAAGAAAACCGAAATAGTTTAGCACGCCAGGCACCCCTGCGATGAATCGACAGGGGGCGGCGGATCGAATGGCCGCCGGCCTATCCCGCCACCGTGCCTGGGCTGGATCAGAGGTCTCAGGGATGTTTCTTGGGGTCTCTTCGGAGCGCTATCGGGAGCCTCCTGGGGGCACTTTGGGGGCCTCCTAAGAGGCTTTTGGGTGCCTCTTGGGGGTCTCTTGGGGGCCTCTTGGCCTCCTGGGGGCCCCTTGAGGCCTCTTGAGGGCCCATCTGGGCCTCCTTTTGGGCCACTCTTGGGGTGTTTTGGGGGCTTCTTGGGCCATCTCGAGGCTATCTTGGGCGTATTGGTGTGACCTTTCGGCTCTTGGACCTTCGGCGGGGCCTCTTGAATCCGTCTTGGACCGATTTGGAGCCATCTTGGGCCCCAAAATGGCATACGGGAAGACGCCCAGGGCACTCGCCAGGCCCAAGGCTCCTAAAAGAATCCGCAGGACTGAGGACTGGGACTGGGGCTTCAGGAATTGGGTAAAGGAGTTGAGGACACGTCCACTCCGTGCCCAGAGGCATGGTGACGGATCATTTGAGAAGTCTTCAGGGTCCACCAGCACCCTACCATT